ATGTGTATATGTGGTGTGTGTGTATGTGTGTGTGTGTGTGTGTGTGTGAGAGAGAGAGAGAGAGAGAGAGTCCTGTGTTTGGTATGTGTGTGTATGTGGAGTGTGTGTGTGTGAGAGAGAGAGACCTGTGTATGGTGTGTGTGTGTATGTGGGGTGTGTGTGTGTGTGTGTATGTGGGGTGTGTGTGTGTATGAGACCTGTGTATGGTGTGTGTGTGTATGTGAGGTGTGTGTGTGTGTATATGTGTGTGTGACTTGTGTATGGTGTGTGTGTGTGTGTGTGTGTATGAGACCTGTGTATGGTGTGTGGCTGTGAGTTACCATATTATCACCTGATCTCAATATCTAATAGAAATAACTTAAAGGAAGAAGATTTATTTTAGCTCTCAGTTTCAGGGGTTGTTTCTGGTCAGGCAGGCACAGTAGAGCAGCTCGGCTCACACTATGGCCCCTCAGAAGCATGGAAATGAAGGGTGCCAGCACTCCATTAACTTTCTCTGTTCTTCCTGCCCACCCACAGATAGTACCGCCCACGTCCATGGTGGTTCTTTCTTCCTCCGTTAATCCTCTCTGACAATACTCCCACCATCACCAGAGGAGGGCCTCACCATCTCCTCTTAAGTGATGCTAAAGCAAGTCACATTGATGCTTAAAATCAACCATTATGGCGGGGCACATGTGTGTACATATGTATAGTATGTATACTGTGTGTTGTGCCTGTGTGTCCCTGCATATGTGGGATGTGGATGGTGCGTCTGTGTCTGGTTTTGGCTTATGTGCACTTGTGTACGTGTGGGGTGTATATGGCCAGGCACTCTCTCAACATGGCTCTCTCCTCCAGGTTGCCCTGGCATGTGGGACAATATCACATGTTGGAAGCCAGCTCAAATAGGTGAGATGGTCCTTGTGAGCTGCCCCGAGGTCTTCCGGATCTTCAACCCGGACCAAGGTAAGTAGAACTCAGAATCTCTCCCAACTATATTGGTTTAACCTGTAATCCATACAGCTATACTCCTGCCTGGAGCTAAGCTTTTTAAACTCAGCTGCCCCCAGATGGCAGGTGACAGAGAACAATCGGGACGGGATGCTGTCCTTTGTGCTGGCATAGGGCGTGGAAACACTTCTCCAGCACTGCACCTAGTGCCAGATCTGCATGGCTAGGTGACTGTCATGGCAGGTGAGAACAATCTGGGCTGAGGCACAGAGTCCATGGCAACTCTACTGTCTACTTCATTGGGGACCTTCAGCAAGGCAGATTACCATTCAAGTTTTTGACCTGCCAGATGGTAATGTGACATGGTGGCTGTTTCCCCAGGTCGTCTGTGAGGATGAAGCCAGGTCACCTACAGAGATGTATCTAGCACAGCACCTGGTGTATTTTGCATATTTAATAGTAAAGCTAGCTGCCAGCATCATAGTTACCATGATGATGACATAGACAGAGATGTCTCAGAGGCCCTGAGGAAGATATGGATGGGACTGTACAACCAAACACCCTGCTTTAGTTAGGGTTCCTATTGCTGTGGAAGACGCCATGACTACATTCTTTAACCACTTGATGTGGGCAGATGCCCAATCCTCCAGCCTACCACCAGCCTGCCAGTCCACCAGCAAATGCATATGCTAAGAAAAGCATATCCCTGGTCCTTGCTGCCCTCAGATGGCCACGAGGACTTAGAGGAGGAGGAAATAGGGTCCTACTCCCCTAACCCAGGCTATCCAGGAGAGGGCCTCGGACACCAAGGAAAGTAGTCTGTGACGTGTAGACAAAGGCTTCAGGGACATATCTGTGATGGCCTGTGTCAGGAAACCAAAGCTGGTGGGAGGTTTCTGTGTATCTCATGTCATATCTGCTCCTGGTCTCTGATGCCGTTGAAATCCTGGGTAGAGTTCCTGGGGCCAAATTGGAATCCCATGAATGGGTGCAGTGACAGAGCTGTGACATTGGATACAGAAATGTGAATTGGTTGAAAGACAGACCCCCAAGGCCAGCCCCAGTGGGCCTGACGTCATTGGGCCCCGACGTCATGGAGAGAATGTCTGGCCCTGTCTGTGAGGCTACCGCCAGTGATCTGTTTCTACCTGGCTTGCAGGAGAGGGGAAAAAGAATAGTATGCATTAGAGTCCCAAGCCTCCATCCTTGACTTTCTACCCAGAGCCCAGAGAAGGTGGGGTTTATCTCCATGCCCCACCTCTCCTTATCCCACATCTTACCCACCTCCTGCTAGTCTGGAAGAAGCTGGTTTCTGAATGTTCCCATCCTGAGGGCTCTGTGACTGAGAGCAGGCCAGGGGGCAAGTTCTGGAGGAGGCTCTAGGCAGTGTGAATAGGGGGGAAGATAGAGGCTGTCAGAGACAGGGCCTGTGATTCAGCTAGCTCCTAAGATTGATTCCTCTGGAAGGCGGCTTAATCACTTCCTGCATGTGCCCATTGCTTTACCTCAGTTAGTTATTGGAAGCTTGTGGCACATCCTCTTTAGGCAGGATTCCAGCCACAAGCCCTTTCTTTTCCCTACAGCCGCAGTCACAAGAGGTGACAGGAAGGAGGGTGGAGTGATTTCCCTCGGCTGCACCCGCCTCAGGGAGCAGGGATGTTATTTACACCTGACTCTTAATGGTTCATTAAAGCAGGGCCTTTAGCGCCTCTGTTCACAAGCTTGGTAGTGAGACTCGCCCTCCCCACTGAACTGCTGTCTCATTTGCTTTCTCCTTCATAGGAAACTCAGTCACAATGGTGTTGGATAGGCCTCTCTGAGGTGCTGGCTTTCTGGGAGCCCCGGTCAGTGCCTTTCCTTCCTCCTCATGTGCTGACCTGGAGGTGGAGTTAGATCCATCCCTGACCCCTGTGAACTTGCTAGGTTCTTGCACGGGTTCCTCAGGCCTTCAGGACCCTACCAGGGCTTTCTCAGAGACTGGGGGTAGAGGTGGGGTGGGAATGGCCTGTGAGAACAGATCTGACTTCAGCCCTGGTCACCTCTGCATTTCTCCTCACGTTTTCTCTCTTTCTCTCTCTCTCTACATACAGTCTGGATGACAGAAACCATAGGTAAGAGGACCCCTGGGAGGACAGACTGAGTTTCATTAGCCCAGCAGGAGCCTAGCCTGAAGACATCCAATGCTGGAATAATGATGGGGTAGCAATAAAGGCAAGATCATTAGGGATCAGCTCCTCCCCTCCTCCCCAGAGTTTACCCATCCTGGAGGCTAGGAGGGATGAAAGACATCTGGCTTCAAGGCCCTTTCAAGCTGGGTCAGGTGTTTGAGTCACCAGTGGAGAGATTGGAAAACAAGTCTGTGTGCATAGTGCATGCATGTTCCTACATGCAAAACGGCCCTGTTCTTCAGTTCACACAGAGTCTGCCAACCCGGCAGTTGCAAAGGGGGGATGTACCTACCAAACAATAGGCCAGAAGAAAATGAAAGGTACATTATGCAGGCAGGACAGGGAGGAGGTCAGGGCAGACTTCCTGAAGGAGGTGGCACTTCATCTTAGAAATGAGAGTTTGGAAACTTGAGCGGAAGTGGGATTAACTTCCAGCCATTTTTAGATAAGTATGAGAGTAAAGGTTATAGTTGGGGGATGGGTGGGGGAAACCTGTCTACAGATAAACTTTTTGGGCTTTGGGGGTCCCTTTGATGAACAACAGACTTGAAGTGTGGGGGGGTTGAACTTCAAAGAAAAATCCCAAGCCCCAGGCTTATTCACTCTGCTTCCTCCCTCCATGAAGACTCCTGGTGGGGACCATGCCACACACCACTGTGAGAATCGCTGTCTTGCAGCTGCTGCTCTGGTGAGACCGGAGCTGCCAGAGACAGTATGCCAGGGGGAAGTGTGGCTCCTGAGGTGCAGCCTCTTGATCCCCTGCCCACTCTCCACAGACAGGGCAGCCCTAGCTTTAGCTGACAGGGCAGCTGATAAGCACAGCATTCTGACTCACCCATGTTTGTGTTTCGCAGGGGATTCTGGCTTTGCCGATAGTAATTCCTTGGAAATCACAGGTGAGGGGTGCGCTGGAGTCGCCTTGGGCTGGTGTGATGGAGGGCAGCTTCTCTGTAGCCGGACTTTCTCCTTCATGTGCTCTCGAGTGTGTGTGCCTTCTCTGATAGAGCTGTGTGTCATCTTCTTGGAAGATGGTACCCAAGTACCCAGAGAGAAGACGGTACATCTATTATGCCTGTAACCATGTGATGTGGGGGAGTCCTGGGTATCTTGGGGCCCGTCATGGGCTGTAAGTGGGAACCCTTGTACTACAGGGTGTTTGGTGGATTTTGACTTCCCTTAGAGGCTTTCAGGGTTCAGCTTTGCACTCCAGTCAACTGGATGGGGCGGAGCCATGAACCACTCTGAGCATCACAGCCAATCAGCAGCAACCCTGCTGAGCCTGGAGCTGCAAGAGGCAGTGGGCTCAGAGGATATATGGCCTCCTGATCCCAGACCCACTCGCTGCAGACTCGGTGAAGTGCAGATTCCAGGGTATCACCCGAGTCTCTGATTTAGCCAGCTGCGTCAAGGCCAGATGCTTGGCCACCATAGGTAGGTGGTATGGTAGGACACTCTCAGCAAGTGTGCTATGCAGCCATGATGCTGCTGGAGCAAAACAATCCAGTGAAACAGATGCTGTCATGCAAGGTTTGGCAATCTACAGAGCGCTTCATCTTCCAGAGACTGCTATCAGAACAATATTCATAGAGCAATTTTGGGAACAAAAACATTTATGTTTTTCTGAGCCTACTTCGTGTTATTAAAATAAAGAGGGAAAATAAAGGAAAGGAAATGGTTCTTCCCTCTAGGAAGGTTTTTTTTTTTTTTTTTAATTGACTCTCAAATTTCTGTACCCTTTGTCTCTTTCTTCCTCTTACTTCTGTGAGGTGGGCAAGGCAGAGTTACCTGAAGCCCAGGGAGGACAGTGGCTCAGCCACTCTGTCTCCCAGTTGAGATGGGGGAGGCATTCAGATGTTCTGAATGGTTCGGCAGCTTTGCAGGGGGGTTGCTAGCAGCAGCCAGAGACACACTTTTATGAAGAAGAGACAGTCTGGTAAAACTGCTATCGGTGACCCTGGCTGCTGGAGTTCCTTCTTGGCTTGTGTCACAGGTGTCAGAGAAGCTGTGGAGATTCTCCCACTCTGGGCAGACTGTTCTCCTGGGCAGGCTCCCTGCTCTATCGTTCCTCCCAGGGAGGGTATGTCCAACTCTCTTACACCTTCCAAGTCCACCAGCAGGAGTAGGATGCTGGTTAGAAAAGAGAGGGGGTAGCCAGGTGGTGGTGGCTCACACCTTTAATCCCAGCCCTCAGGAGGCAGAGGCAGGCAGATCGCTGAGTTCAAGACCAGTCTGAGTTACAGAATGAGTTCCAGGAGAGCAAAGACTACACAGAGAAACTGTATCGTAAACTGAGGGGTCTTTCCATCTCTCTTCTGTTCTGCACTGACCCATTGCCTCCTTGTTGAGCTTCCCAGAGATCACCTTCATCACAGAGGACAGGATGCCCCCCAGCAGTGTGTGCTCCAACTCCCTGTCCACAGAGGTCTCTTACCATACACTCCCTCCCCCCACCCCCTGAAACCCATAGACGGACTGTATCACAGACTCCAGGATGATGCCCCAGAATCTGCACTCTACCAAGCCCACAAGTGGCTAGAGGTGTACAACTGAAGTTTGAAAAAAAAACCTCAATTCTGTCTCTGGAGATTTAAAATTGCCCTGAATCCTGTTCCTTTCCATGTATCCTAAGAGATTGGTAGCTCTTGGGCTGCCAGGTAGGGACAAATATCTTGGGGCCATACTCGTGCTAGCTAGAAGAAAAGGCTTACTTGCCTTGTGCTCCTCTGGACTTTAGTGGCTCTTACCAGCTCAGGAGAATGGCATGATGTCATTCAAGGCCGAAGCAACCCACTTATGTGACAAATAGCCTACGCTCTGCTTCGAAGGTAGCAAGCGCCTCCTTCCAGTAGTTGTGACTGCTCCATCCCTCCAGCATCCCACGAAATGAACTTTAAGTCAATCCAAAGAGGAAGAATGCACATCAGTGATGGGAGGGAGACTACAAAACTCTGAAAGGCAAAAAATAAAATAAGAAAAAAAAAACCCCACTGAGTTTGTTGATAGAATATGTCTGGGCTTGCTTAAAAGCAACAAAGCCAGGAGCTGCATTGGTGTGAGATGTGACAGCTGCTGGTAGACCCAGACCCAGAGCTCTGAGATCAGATGTGCCAAATCTTCACCCTACAGTCACTCAAAGAGGCCTTGAACATACTGAATGCCTTGTTAGGGTCCCGGGAGTTGGGCTTGAGAGTAGCGTTTGTGACAAGTTTCTAGATGGTTCTGCACATTGACGTTTTGAGTAGTGCTGATGTAGAGCCTTGGGGTGGGCTCCAGATCGTCTTCTGGTGAGCATTCGGGAATATTACAGGAGAGATCCAGGCATGTTGGATTCTTGATTAAGGGATAAGGTTGCCCTTTCACCCTACTCCCCACTCCCCTTGTCATTAGTGAAGGACGAGTGCCAGGTCTACAGCAATCACCCTATCTCGTGTCTTCTAGCGTGAGCCACCCAGTCGAACACATGGTCTTTCAGGAAGTCCCACTGTGAAATCATTTTCAGGGTCATGTTAAGCCATTCACATGCCTTGCCTTGTTTTCTGTTCTCTGCAGACATGGGGGTCGTGGGCCGGAACTGCACCGAGGATGGCTGGTCGGAGCCCTTCCCCCATTACTTCGATGCTTGCGGGTTTGATGACTATGGGCCTGAGTCTGGGGATCAGGTAAGGTGAGGTGGTGGGTTAGTTCTGAAGAGCTCAGGGTTCAGGGCAGGGCTCATGAGCGCCTGCCTGCTGTATACTGAGCCTGGAGCGTGGAGGGTAGGATGCTCATTCACCCTGTCCGGTTCTGTCCCCACAAGTCGCACAAATCCCCTCAATCATCGTTTTCAGGACCCTGTCCTCCAGATAGCCCAGAAACTGATGACCTAATTCTGGGTCTAGCAGGGAGCTTCTTCAACCCTTCCTCAGGCTAGGACTGAGTTCTGTTCCAATTGTTCAGCACCCTTGACCTCGGTACATCCTGAGCAGGTTTAGAGTGCTGACCCTGTGCAGAGAGAAGCAGGCATCCAGCCAGGAGTGAAGTGATGGCAGAGAGGGGGGAGATGTTGGGCTCCAGGACCTGGTCTGGGACACTGGGTGTGGGTCCTAGAGGGCATTGACTGGTCCCAAGCAGAGCCCTGCATGTCCTGTGCCCTGCTACAGGATTATTACTACCTGTCGGTGAAGGCCCTCTACACAGTCGGTTACAGCACGTCTCTCGTCACCCTCACCACTGCCATGGTCATCTTGTGCCGCTTCCGGTGAGAGCCTAGTAGTGTTCGAGTCAGAACTGTCCATCCCAGCATCCCCAGAAAGTCCCTTGGAAGGCAGGCCATGTCCCTAATAGAGCAGATGGGAAGGTGGCCTGGGAGGGCAGCTCATATGTCCAGGACTACACAGTCAGGCATAATCTCTTCCAGAAATTTCCTTTGCTTGCTTTAATCTTCCCAGTCTAGGTAGAGAGGTGGTCGAGAGGCTACAGGAGGGAGAAGTCTGGTCAGCAGATGATCAGGGTGGGGAAGGCAGAGGATTATTGAGGGGGGAGAAGAGGGTGGTGTGGGAGAGGGACCCCATTAAGACAAGCCATGAGTAGGCCCAGAGCAGCCCTACCCTGAGGGTATAAAGTACTGTGAACTCACGGCCTCCCCATCCCGGTTCACGTAGGAAGCTGCACTGTACCCGTAACTTCATCCACATGAACCTGTTTGTTTCCTTCATGCTGAGGGCTATCTCTGTCTTCATCAAAGACTGGATCTTGTATGCCGAGCAGGACAGCAGTCACTGCTTCGTTTCCACCGTAAGTGAGCCAAGCAGCCCAGTATCCCAGGACTCTGCCCTGCTAACACCCTGCAGGGAATGTGTCCCTACAGGTGAAGATCTTATTGTAAGTCTTGTGAAAGTTCTGGAGTTATAGAGTGGTCACCATAGCCAGAGTATAACCTCACTCCAATACAGAACACAGCCAGACCCTCAGCCTCATACTTGAGCCAGGAAGGTTAGGTGAGAATGAGGCTCAGACAGGGATTAGCTAGTCCCTTGGCATGCTACCAGTCATGTGGTATTCTGTGTCACATTCTGTGTCACTAGACCAGCTGGCTAGGGTCTTTGTCAGTGCCTTCCCAAGCACAGACGTGTGAAGGAGGTATATGCAGAAAACTGGCTTTTGAAATGCTGGGATAAGAACAGACTAGACTTGGGGCTTCACTAGGAGGACATGTTTGGAGGATCTCTTTGAGAAAAGATTTTTTTTTCCAGGGCCAAGGTATGTGTCTCCACCTTCCATGTGTCCAGATCCACATTTTGTAAGAAGTCTCCTGTGGGGAATACCTAAAATTTTAGGCTTTGAGATACCTGAGACTGAGTATGCCAGTGTTGATAGGCCCTCAGGATTTCCCTTCATCCTGGACTTCAGGATTTACCTGGGGACATGGGGGGAGCTCAGCTTTCCTATCTGGCTGTCTCTGTAGGTGGAATGCAAAGCTGTCATGGTTTTCTTCCACTACTGCGTGGTGTCCAACTACTTCTGGCTGTTCATTGAAGGCCTGTACCTCTTTACACTGCTGGTAGAGACCTTCTTCCCTGAGAGGAGATATTTCTACTGGTACACCATCATTGGCTGGGGTAGGTCACTGGCTGGGTCTGGATGGGCTCAGGCCACTTGGTCAGCTGTGTCCTTGGTCCCAATTTTAGGAAGCCTCGGATAACAGAGCCCTTACTAGGCTGTGGACTTCTTGTTAATTCCTAGAACCCCCACTTTTTAACTTCCTTTGGTGGGACCCCATTTTCTGAGGGAGAGTTGTACTCAGGAATCATGTTAGAGACCAGGTGGTCTGAAGCTGGGAGAGATGGAAAGAACAGGAAGAAACTGGAAAATGAAGGATAATAGGGTCCCCAGAAACTCCAAGGTTAAGAGTATCCTGGGCAATTGGGCTTCCTTTTCTTGCTCTCCAGGGACACCTACTGTGTGTGTAACTGTGTGGGCTGTGCTGAGGCTCTACTTTGATGACGCAGGGTAAGTACAACCAGAGAATCAGACTGTAGTACAGGATCTCTATCTCATGCATGGGCTTCAGTGCCTGTCTGGCTTCATGTGAACTCCCCAACATGTTGCTCCGACCAAAGCACAGCCTTGGGTACCACCTGAGTCTTCACCCCGTGGGATCAGTCCTGTCTCAGCCCCAGACCAAAGCCTGGTCGCAGACCCTTCTCCAGCCTTTACCCCTTGTGGTTAGCCTTGTCTTAATTGACAATCCAGCAAGAGAATGGGTACATTCCTGAGCTCATCTACTTTGGAGCATCTTTGGGGAAGCTCTGAACATTTGATATTCTTTGGAGGACAGGAGGAAGAATGTTGAGGGTGAGGTCACTTTTAACCCCAAGGACCCTAGATCTAAATGGGAGACATTTCCTTTCTCAGGATCCCACTATGACTTTAATTCTTGGGCTCCAGTCTTTGCCATGACAGGAACACTGAGAAAGAACAAGCCTCATGTGAGGGGTCTTCTAGCCAGCCTACCTCTACCTCCAGCTTTCCCTGGTCAGGGGTACACAGACGGTGAGAAGGGCAGGCACCCAGCTAGTCATGTTCTGCTCTGCAGGGTCTGCTATGATTTCTCCTCTTTGCCCATCTTTCAGATGCTGGGATATGAATGACAGCACAGCTCTGTGGTGGGTGATCAAAGGCCCCGTGGTTGGCTCTATAATGGTGAGTGCCCCTGGGGCAAAGAGGGAGGCAGAGCAGGCAGAAAGCGTAGAGAGAAGGGAAGGAAAGGGACTTTGTCACAGCTGTATTCTATTCAGTAGCAATGGCAGACACATGATTCAGTTATTCCCCTAGTTCTGGACAAACCTATTATTCCATTTTTAATCCTTATGGAAGGTGCTGCTACTAGGAGTAATTTCATGCATACTTCTGAGTATTTGTAAGTCTGTCCCTCTGTGTTGTTAGTGGGTCTGAGCACTTATGGCTAAACAGCGTTTTGGTGGCTTATGCTTATGACAGTCCTGTGAACTTTTGTCTTTTTGACCAGCCGAGGAGCAGTGACTCCTCTCCCGTACTTTGTCACATTCCCAGGCCAGCATGGCTGCCCTCACTGGGGTCCTTGGGCTCCCCCTCTCTGATTGTCAGCTTTATATCTCATTTATGGAGGTTTTCCATCAGGATGAGCTGTACAAATCTCCTCTTAATTGCTTCACGGCACTGTTGTGATTTAGGTCATCAGGGTGTATCTTTAAGAAAGGTTCTATTTAATCTTTGTCTTTACTAAAATGCTATTTTTCTACATTTCTATTTTTGATGGCTGCAAATTTCCCATTCTCAGTCTCTTTACAGAATCTTAAAGGCTGGAAAGTTATTTATCACAAACATGTGCATACTGTGGGTTGGAGACTTTCACTTTCGTGCTACGAATATGTCTTCCCAGAGGGCTGTGCCAGCTACTGTGACCCTGTATGTTTTACCATGTTATATACAAATTTCTCATTTGTTCTGCTGAAAATTTTTTGCACATCCACTTAGGTAGACTTTTGAACAGGAAGTGACTTAACTTTTAACTTGTAAGAAAAGGTCTGGTGGAGCTCTGTATTGAATTATATACCAATTTGGAGGAAAATTATTTTTCTCCCAAAATATAGCAAAATACCCTGTCTGTCCAGTCTTTCTTGCTGCCATTTTGCTTCCTCTGAGATGTTCTCCAGCCTGGGCCCTGGTTGAGTCTAGGAATTTTTCCTTCCCTGTATTATCTGTCGGGTTATTGGGGCCATACAGAGAAGCCATCAGTTCTTGTGACTCCTTGGCTGAGTTACATTTTTTGAATTCTCTTAAGAGTTTAATCCCTTTTTTATTTGGTTCACATGGGGTTTCTACATAGAAAATTATGCAACCTGTAAATGAAAACAGGCTTTTGCCCATCTTTACCAGTGTTTGTTCCCTTTATTCCTTGTTTTTATGGAAGACAATGTTTGCTCTGGTTTTTGGCAGTTGTCTTGCATGCAATTGGGCAAGTTTCTCTTCCTGGTTGGCTTTCGTGTGTGTGTGTGTGTGTGTGTTGTTATAAATCCAAGCACGGGTATTTCATTTTATCAGATGTGCTGAAGAGACCATGCTCTTATGACAGAATATTATAAATTTACTATTTCAGTTTTTCTCTAGTGCTGTGGATATAGTTACCTGGATTTGAACATGTGTGGTTGTGTCTTTGGGATAAATTGCTGGGAATAGGATTTTTAGGCACAGAGTGTTTGCACTTACTGTTCACATGGTTATGGACAGAGAGAAAGAGACTCACTTCCTGGGCTCCCATGTCTATGCTGATGTTTCTTATTCCTAATTATTTTCCAGTCTCTCAGGGATGGTGGAGCCTGTTGTTTTCCTGTCGTTATAAGGAATAACAGTCCGTTTATTTGCATTCTTGGGCGGGATCTTGGTGGGCATGACCTACCTGCTCTTTTCGTGTGCCACCGACTTCTGATTGTTAGCGTTTTGCTTAAAGGTTTTTCTCTGTTTACCACGTATATTAAATGTCTCCGTGGATTTATTTTATGTTCCAGCATGGCCTTTGTTTTGTCTTGCCTTTTGAAACAGGGTCACATTACATAGCCAAGGCTAGCCCCAGACTCATGATCTTCCTTTTCCCGCCCACCTTCTTTGTTTTTTTTCCCTGTGTGTGTGTGTGTCTGTGTGTGTGTGTGTGTGTGTAGGTGAGAGACCAATCTCTAGTGTTATTCTTTAGAATTCTGCCCATATGGATTTTTTTTTTATTTTTATTTTGGAAGGGTTTCTCACTGGCTTGGAATTCAGTCCAGGATATGCCTGTCTCTGCCTCTTCAGCCCTGGGATTACAAGTACATGCTGCCACACCTATCTTTTTCCCATGTCTTAACCCGAGTCACCAGGAATCACACTCAGTCCTCACCCTTGTAAGACTTTGCTGGCTAAGCTATCCTTCTGCCCCCTCTTTGTTTGGTTCTTGAAGTAGAATCCTTGAGATTTTGTATTTGTATGTTCTGAAACAATTCCACGTCTGGGAAGCTGTCTTTTCTTTACAAGTTCATAAGGTTGCCTGGGTCTGGTACTTTGCCTGCACAGACTTTGGATGACTGTTAAATGTCTCACTGACGCCATCGCTCTTCTTCCTTTCCACCTAGCTGGTTGTTTAGAGGCGGCTTTCCTTTAGGGAAGCTGCTTCTGTTCTTGCTCAGTTTAGTTTTCTGGTTTCGGTCAATAGTCTCTCATGATTCGAAACAACCTGTTTATCTCCTGTCTTGTCCTCTTTCTCACCCCTACATATTTAATTCTACTTTCTCCTTGGCAATATTTGCTGAGCTAATTGCAGCATTAATTAGACAACGGCAGAAGCAGAAACAAGCACGGCAGGGCAGGGGTGTGTTTTGTTGTTCTAACTGATCCAGGAAACAAAGAAAAGAGCAAACAGGAGCTTTTTCTGATCAAGCCTGCTATGGCTTCCAGTTTCTTTCTTGTGGCTTTTTAACCTTCATCCGCTTCCGTCTCACGCACTACCTAGAGATGATCACTCTGATCTCTCCTCAGCTTTCAGTTGCTTAGCCGTTCTCAGTAGCTGTTATTGTTTTGAAAGAATTGTGTTGTTCTCTTCTTGAGGGCGGCTTGGGCTCTTTCCCAGAGACGTCGCTGTGCCGTGCAGTCTTCTTGTTATGCCTCCTTTGCATTTATTTGCAGCCCTCCCTCCTCCTTTCTCAGTGCACACGCAGCTTCCCACTTTGTTTGGGAAAGCATCTGTCCCTGATGGCACGCGCTGCTGTTGCTGTTCCCGGGCAGCCCTCTAATTAAGAGTGCTGTGGCTGCTTCCCTGTATTCCACGACTCTGAACGTGAACTTTCTCTCCCCCACCCACACCCCCACCCCCACCTCTTTATCGCTGAGACAGAGTCTTCCCCGAATGCCCAATCCTCCTGCTTTGGTCTTTCAAGCACTGGGATTACAGACCTGCATCAGCACCACCTGGCTGAGTTTGGAGTCACCTGTGTGTCACCTCTTTTCCATCATCATTTTTCTTTCTGCTTCAGACAGTGCTCGCCCCCCCTGGCTTACCCTCCATGCTTTCTATTTCCAGGTATTTCTTTTTCTGTAGAATTCTTTTTTTTTTTTTATTGGATGCTTTCCTTCATTTGAAAGACTCAGTGAGAGGCAGAGAAGTCTGCAAAGGAACTTGCCTGGCTGGAGATGGTCCTTGTGAGGGAATACCAGGAGATTTGAGTCTGCCTTTCTCTCACTCCTCAGGTTAACTTTGTGCTTTTTATTGGCATCATCATCATCCTTGTACAGAAGCTGCAGTCCCCAGACATGGGAGGCAACGAATCCAGCATCTACTTGTAAGTATGTCGTGCGGATATGGGGATACCACAGCTGTTTCCGACCACATGGCCTGCACTCAGGTCACAGGCAGGACAAAGCTTGAACTTTGCTGGCAGGTTGACCTAGCATGGGCAATTGTAAGATTTCTTCCTGATTAAAGTGCCTGTGAACTACGACTGCCCTCCCAGGCCTGAGCCAACACAGAACACCTCAGCTACATGGGCATTGCATGGAAAGGGAAAGAGAGAGAAAGATTAACAGAACCTCTATGATGGCAGGAAAGTCAGTGGAGAGCCCCAGAGGACTCCCTGGGGTAGCTAAGGCCTTGGTTGTTTAGAAGCTGGCTTTCCTTTGGGGATGCTGATTCTGTGGGAATATGCAGATTAGAGGCGTGGCTGTGACAGGCCACACCTCCTCATCCACTGGGCAGAAGCTTCTAAGTGCCTGGCAGTCTGCAGGGGGACCTTCTCCTTGGTCATACATTGCATGGGGATTTTCTTTTCTGTACCTTGCCTCAGGACAGCTCTGTCTACCTCTGCATCTGTCTGGTTTTCTGCCTCAACCCCATTTTGTCCCTATCAGAGAAGCATCAGCTCTGTGATTGCTACTGAGTGCAAGGCTTCTGCTGTGCTTATAGACGTTTGTGTTCTAAGAACTAGTTTTTCAGTTACTACCCTGAAAACACATGATTACCTCAATCCCAGCCCGGTCCTACTCTGAAATCAGACAGAGCACCTGCTGCCTCACCGTTTGGGGCTCGAGAATGAGCTATGGGGTGTGGAGACACTTCTGATGCCAAAGAGAAAGGTCATGAGCTCTGTGAGGTGGATCTGAAGGGTGTAGTAGCGACCAAGGGTAGCAGAGGGGAGCTATGAGGCTCACAGCATCACTGGGGTCTTCCTTAGGGACTCAGCCTGAGGCTTGCAACCTTCAAGGCTTCCCTGAGAAAACTGAGGGCTACCGTAGTGTCAGTGAAGCTGAGGGCTCTACTAGCCGTTCTCTTAGGGAGAGAATGAGCTCTGCAAAGAGACTGAGTGCCAGGTCCTCCTCAAGGCTCCTTTGAGGGGAAATGGAACTGCCTTTGGTCCATCAGTTGGTCTAGACTGCTGGGTACCACTCCTTCTCATGTGCCGGTGGTTAGCACAGGGCTTTTATTGTAGAGCATATGTTCTCTGCCTCTGTAATAATGGCATAACATTGGGAAAGGACAAAGATGTGATTATTTCGCTGCCCACCCCATCCCTGTTTCATGTTTTTGCCATTTATTTATTTATTTGTTTGTTTGTTTATGTGCCAATGCTTTATTTGCCCATTTTTTCATGTTTTGCCAGGTGTTTGTTTATTATTTTAATCAGCCTTTACTTGTCTGTATCTGTGATGAAACAGGAAGTTATTCTTTGATAGAAGCCTTGACTATTTGGTAGGGCAGTGGTTCTATTCTTCCTTGCCCTGCACTAGAGTGACCACCTTATCCCGGAGAGTCACAAAACAGCCCTCCTGCTCCCCTTTCCCGCCTCCCTGTCCAATGTAGGAAGCTGAAGTTACGCCTTTATGTCCAGCCTCAGTTTCTCTTGCTTGCCTGTGAACTGTCTCCCCTACTGAAAGTCACCTCTTGCATTTGGGTCTGTCGAGAAGCTAAGTTAGCCCTGTTCTCTCCCGAGCACTGCCGACCTTCCTCAGTCTCCTCTCCTTCCTGATATGATTTGGGTCTTCTAGGGCCTCTGAACCATCTTCTTTGGGCTGAATGGGAAGATTCCTCCTGCTTCTCTCTACTTTTCCTAGGTAGAGCCATGCACAGAGGCTCAGCCTTAGAATCTAAGGATGCTCTGGGAAGTCTGATCACACATTCACCATCTCAAATGTCCTGTCCCAGACATCAACAATTACTCCTGGCCTGATGGGGAAGAACGGAGGGCCTTCCTAATGCATCGATAAGAGCCACGTGTGATTAGCACACGGTTTATATATACATTTATGTTTATATTTGATGTTTTCCTGAACTTTGAAGAAGCAGCTAGTTGGTTTACTTCTTTAATGTAAAACTGTACAGGCTTAGCCAGGGCTATTTGATAGCGAAAATCAAACCTACGATAGTCTCCAGCCCCCAAAACTCAGGCGGATGACATCTGTAAGTTAGGGAAAGGTTAAGGCTGGACCAGGGATCGGCTTGCTTGTGTTGGATTCAGCTATATGTCTGCTGTCATCAGGGTCAAGGAGACCATGTCGACCCTGGTGACAAAGCCTCCGAGAGCTGCAGAGAATGTAGAAACACTTGCACACAGTTGATGCTCACAGACAATACAGCATCATGGCAAGCTGGGCAAGCCATTATCAAGAGGAAGGCATTTTACAGCAGAGGACACTAGTGTTCCATGAAGCTTGGTGAATCCTGCAGGAAGAAGCTAGGCTGTGGCAACAGTTCAGGCAGTGGGTACCAGAGATGGCTTATGTTGTCCTTCCCTCATAGACTGAACCCCCATAAAGAAGTACTTCACTCCAAGGGCTTTAGAGGGGCTAGCTCTAAAGGGAGGCTCCTGCACTGGGGAAGAGAAAGAACCTGGGGTGGGCAGGGCATGGTGGGAGATTCCAGGGCTGTGTCTGGGGCCCCAGATGTGTGTATTTTGCTATAAAGTCCTTCCTGGTCTGCCCACAATAGCTCTCTGGTTTTTTCCTCTGTTTCCAGAACAAATTTAAGACTGAGAGTCCCCAAGAAAGCCCGAGAGGAACCCCTGCCTGTGCCCTCAGACCAGCATTCACCCCCTTTCCTGTAGGTTGGTTCCAGCCATTCAGATGCTAAGGGTTTGTTCACTGTCAACCAATGTGTTCCTGGCTCAGTCTTGAAGGACATGCTGGATGTGGGGCCTTGCGGAGGGTGGGGGGAGACTGGACCTGCATTAGGGTCAGCAGGGGCTCAGATTAGGGCTGTGCAAGCATTCAGTTTTGGGCTGGGCAAGGTTAGCTTGTTTTGGCCTGAAGCTAGCCACAGCTCTCTGTCTTTGAAGGGTGGAGGAGAACGAGGCTTTCTGAAGACTCAGAGAGAGCAAGGAGTGGCTCAGGCCAGTCATAGAGCAGCTTGGCTTCATTCTTATTGCCCATGACCTGCTCTATTTTTGGAGGTGGGCATTGGAATCTACCTCTTAGGTCTGAGATGGGGAGAGGAAACCTATGTATAACCTTCTTAGGGATTCCTCCATCACCTCCCTGGACAGGCTCTGTGTTGCAAGGCAGCCTTTCAGTCAGGATGTCCAGCAAGAGACTTTGCCTACAGGTCTAGTCACGGCATCCCGTACTGCCCACCCTGTTAAGGAACATCTGCCCCCGCCCCACAGAGTTCTTCCAGGGGGTGATTTAGGGAATTTGCTATCCCAAAAAAACCCTGGAAAAGAAAACTGCCCACTAAGTCAGTAGCCACAAAACCTTGAGCTTGGTGTGGACCCCCTCTGGGAACCCAGGCTCATTCTGCCTCCCTGTTGGAGGAGGAAGTGGTGTTGAGGTATACTCCAGCAGGGATGCTATTTCTGAGAAATGCTTCCTGAAGACCGGGCAGAGTTCTGAAGGTGCAGGTGAGTGTGGTTAGCCTCAGGAAACCACCATGTCCTATAGACTGCCAAGGAAGCAACTTTCCATGAATTCTGAGGGTTCAAGGTAGAGAAGAAGGGAAAGCTCTCCACAAAGGGCATGGGCAGGTGTCTGTCTACTATCCTGTTAGATGTTTCCTGGGGCTGCAGTCCAGCCATCCCTTCACATAAAAGGCTCTGTAGAAACTGTGTGCCAAATTACCAGGGATAGGCATGATAGCCAAGCTGGAATAGCCTTGCCCTTCCTACAGATGAGGAGAAGCCATGTCAGAGCTGGGCCTGGAAACCAAGGTCCTCATGACCTGCAGAAGGGGCTCTGTACCAGCCACTAGCCAAATTCCCACAAGCCAACAACTCCCACTGACCACCACAGGTCTCTGTCTTCCGTTTCAGGGGAGCCCACCTAGCATACTACTCTGAGTCTCCTGTGCTTCCCTGGACTCAGGGTGGCCTTCCTGGCTGACCTAGGTGTATCTCTAGATGAGACCTTGCTCCCTTCTTGCTTGGCTGTCCTGGGAGTTACATGGCCTCCTTTCTCATGCTCCAGGTCCGCTCTTCTGCCACAGCACATCCTGTTGCTTTTCAGTCTGTTTGTAAGTCACTGCAGGCCAGGGGCAGGGTCTTGGGAGAGGGCCTCTTCCCCTCTTTCTCTGGAGATAGTCTCCCCCGAGATCCCTCTGGATGTTACCCTTGCTTTTGTTTCTCCTTTCTGTGACCTTCCTGTCCCATCCCAGTGAACTTGTCATTAAACTGTCCTTTTGCTATTTTTCAAGACAATTTAAAGGAAAATCAGAGGAGCCCATGTTTACTGTGAGATGTTATGGATTCCACAAAAGGGAGGAACATGGGAAGTGTTGGGGGAAAGGTCTTGAGAGAGAAAGGCTAAAGCTTGGAATTCAAGATGGCGCCAGTTGAGCAACAGATGTACAGATGTGCCACTGGTGACTTGGACTATCCCTGGATCTGGTCTCTGCCTCAGCCAGGGTTGAAGGGTTGTTGGCCATTTGGTCTGGGCAAGGGATATGAGAGGGAAAGGATAGCTGGTGTTCTGCTGTGCCCAGAGATCCCCCCTTCTACACACACACACACACACATACACACATACACACACACACACACACACCAATCCCCTGTCATTCACCGAGGACCTATGAGAAACTTCTGAGATCTATGAATACCTTGCAATAGGGCTGCCCCAGTACATTCCCAGGCTGTGGTTGAAATGCGGCTCCTGAGCTGGCAGGTCAGCAGGCCAAGGAGGCACTGTAGTCTGTTTCTGAGAGGTGTGGTCAAGCACTGTCCCTGCTGCCAGTCTAGAGACCAATTGAGTAGCAAAAGATTGAATAACACCTACAAAATGGGCCTCCAGCATCCACCAGCTTATAGGTGATATGAAATGAAAGATGCCATTTATTGAGTGATCACCACAGGCCTGGAGGGGAGCAGCCTGCTGGGCAGACTGGAGTTTGTTTGCCTCATCTGGAAATTAGCAATACATGTTCTTGCCTAAGCAGAATAACAGGTCCCCAGACTCTAGTTGCCTTTAGATCCACTCTCAGGTGGAGTCAGAGAGCAGGTCTTTGGATGCTGAGAACCTAACTGCGCGTGCGTACTTGTCTTCATTGGTGTCTAATCCTTCTACACCTGATTAGGCATTCACTAGCCAGTATGAGGTGCCTCTGTTGTCTCCACGTGGAGATTGTTTGTTATCTAAGGTGACGTGACTCTTGATCTCTGGAAGGGAAACTTGTGTCCCTGGGTTATGCCAATTCAAGAGTGAGCAGGACCAGAAAGATTCAGAGGAAGCAGGAGTGTACCTGGATGCCTGTGTGACAGAGGGCAGCAGGAGACACAGCCAGCCTGGCCCCTGTGCTGCCTTCTCAAGGCAATGCATGTCATTAGGCTTTTGCTCATCAGCCCTGTCCATATACCTGGATGGAGCAGTCTAGCTTAGCACTGTCCTGTGGAGCTCTGCAAATGGCTGTGTTTCTGTGTCTAGTATTGTCACCACGAACCATATGTGACTAGTAAGCCCTGATGCCCTGACTAGAATGATGGAGGAAGTGGGGTTTTCTTTCCATTGGATTTTGATTAATTTCCATTTGAATAGCCACCTAGGATAGTGGCTACCTTGATGGGCAAATGGAGGTCTACACTAATGATCAGTCCGTTAAGCCTGGCCTGCTCCTGCTCTTCTGTGTAGTTTACACTGAGAGGAGGTGGAGGGGAGGGGAGGGAAGATAGTCAGAACACTCATGGTGATCTTTGCTACCAAGCCCAGAATTCTATCTCCATGCTAGCCATGCATGAGGTCTACGGCGTGAGTGTCCAGTTATTCATCTTACTGGGTGAACTTGACAAAGCCATGTACCATGCTCTAAGTCTGTGGCTGATACCAGAGATGGCCTCTGGCTTCCTGTCTGAATCGTATGTCAGGCCTCATCTCCTGAACATTTCTACTTTTTAATACTACTCGCCTATTAGTGGTCCCAGTGTGTGTGTATGTGTGTGTATGTGTGTGTGTGTGTGTGTGTATGTGTGTGTGTATGTGTGTGTATGTATGTATGTATGTATGTATGTATGTATGTATGTGTGTATGTATGTGTGTTACTACAATGCACACACTATTTATGAACATACATTCCTTTGTCCAAAGCTGACTGTTTTATTCCTTGGCTTCCCCATCCTCCTCTGGGTGATTTCCTTAGCTTGTCTTCCTTCCCTCACGTCTCTGCCCTCCCTGTGCCCTGTGAATTAAGTCTTCCCAAGTCCTACTGCAGTTTCTTCATTGCCCAATGTCCCCAGCTGACAGAAGTGCTAATCTTGTCACACCCAGCAGCTGCGTGCAGAAATGCTACTGCAAGCCACAGCGGGCTCAGCAGCACTCTTGCAAGATGTCAGAACTATCCACCATTACTCTGTAAGTGTGTGTGGCCGTGGCTGTGGCCGGGTGTCCTGGAGGGGTGGGGGGATTTGCATGTTGCTGTTGCTGCCACTGCCCTGTGCTTGTGTTCTGCCGGGCTGGAGGAGTGTGGCAAGCCGCCCTGAGCCTCCCAGCCTACCCTGTTCCTGGATGCTGCATGTACCAGGATATGTGTCTTGTGAGTTCTCTGCAGTCTTGTGGGTGGGGCTGGAGGCATGTGGGTATTGGAGCTGTGGCATCGCAGGGACGTCTTGACTTGGCGGCTACTGATGCCTACCTCACTCTGCAGTCAACAGTTAGTGGCTGCTGACAGAAGTGTGTCCTTCCTCAGGCCCCCACCGCTCTGGGATTTAGTCTTGTCAGCTGCAAAATTGTAAGAGCTCAAAGTTGAGATGAGCTCACCATGTGCTGAGCACGTTGTGTGCAGCTTGGCTCAAGCTCAGTCTCCACAGAGCTTGATGAGGTAGAGTAAGTCACGTGACTGGGAAGGCAAAGACAGGAACCTAGAGCATCCTAGGAATCACACCTTAGCTCACCTATGACACCCACAGAGTAGGAAGTGTGGCTTTCCTGGAAACTCACTGATAGTTTGAGTGGCTCTGATCTTGGGATAATAGGACTCCTCTTCCTCCTGATGGCACTGTGGGATAGGAGAGCACAGCTAGAGGCTGTGTCATGGTCTCTCTGGGTTAATCACAGTTCAAGGCTTATCAGCTCAGAGATCCACAGGTCCTACACTGGATCCATGAAGCCTCCTCATGTGTCACCACTCCCTATCTGCCAATGGCCCCTGAGGGACCCCTGGCTGTCATCTCTGCCTATTCCAGAGCAGTATCAGAGCTGTGAGGGGCAGATACTGCTCTTGGCTGCACCCTGGGAAACCCTCTATAGATCCACGTCTTTCCCATGGCTGGGAAGGGTCTGACGCTGTCCCTGAGCCCAAGAAATCTAAGGCCACTATGAACACTGGAGGGGCTTAGCATTTGGTACCCAGATTCTATTTTTCTCTGCTGGAGTAAGAACCTGGAATGGATCTACTGTAGAAGGGACTCATGGGGAGGAAAGCAGGGCTCCAGGGCCCAACAGGAACCCCATGCATATACTTTTCTAGGCACTTCTTTCTGCTCTTCCAACTTCCATTCTATCTCCAGACACACCCTCCTGCTTTCTGGTGTCAGACCGTGCTTGGGCACTGAGATGCAAGCAGGACCTGATGCCAGGGAAATGTTGACTTTTAGGGATTCTATCTTGCGTGCCTGGGTCGTCCTGTTGCTCTTCCATAGAACAGGCATTTCCAGTGTGAACTATGTGCCTGAAGATATTTGCTGTGAGACCTAACAGATGGCTAGAAACCCATGTGGGCTCATCGTAGGGACTCACTCAGATCCCACTGTCCCTGTCCTGGTCTAGGGACCCTCAGTGACTATAGAATGTGCTGCCTCTGGGCAAGGTGGGGACTGTGAGACCCACAATTGCAGGCTTCCTCATTTCTGGGCTACACCTTCTCCTGAAGGTCACCTCAAGCTCACGTTCTTCCTCCTCCTTCTCCCTAACCCCTGCCCTCCATTCCTCTCCCTCCTCCTCCTTCTTGTCTTCCCTCTAATAGTCACCAGGACATCAAGGACCTTATATGGAAGCTAGTGATTTGACTTTTCTAGAAATCTGGACTCCAGCATTCAAACCCAGAAGGACACGGAGTGGGAGATGAGGGGCACACAGTAGACTTGCTCCCAGTCAAATGGTTACCCTTACACATACCGTCCATTTCTGAGGGCTCAGCTGTGACAAGACAGGGGGAAGCCGATGGCCCCAGGGAAACAGCTGAGAGAAAAACATTTAGACAGGAGAGCTTGGCTCTTTCAGGGAGGCTACAGGGGGCCTGGGTCCTGGGAAGGGCAGAAATGGGGCTCCACTCTGGGAAGCCCCTGTAATAATTTACTCCATCTGGAGCAGTGTTCCCAGCCCATGTGTACCTGATGCCCTCACCGTGGACTTCTGCCTCTGTACTGTTATACAGGGTCCTGCCCTACTCTTGGCTCTATCCCAAGAACTAAGAGAAGGAGAGGATCTCTTGCTGCTCCATTCCTTCCCATCCATTGGCTCAGTTTCTGGGGCAGCAGCTCTCTCCTGTGCAGAATTTCCTGTGCAGAATTTCTGTTCAGTCATCAAGATCAAGTCCTTCCTTGAAACCCTCTCAAATTCTTCTATGTCCTACCTAGGACCATTTCCCCCCCCCCCCCTGGTCATCAGCAATACACCAAATGTCTCTAGACACAAAAGAGCCTTAATCCCGTGAGTCTTAGGAGAGCTATCTTTGAGTTCATGTTGCTTCCTTCTGAGACAGGATAGGTTTGCTCTGGCTCAAGACTCTGGAATCCTATCCTGAGTTTTCCTCTGACTTTACATATTACTCAAGGGATCTCTATAAATGAAATATTTTCAGTGATCCTGCAGGATACCAACTAGGTGCCCTGCAGGCTGGGGAAGCCCTCATATGGATTCCTGGGAACCCTGGGCACTAGTTGGCTCCCTCGCTCCCAGGCCCCCTACACTAGTAAAGGATACCAAGCAGTCTGTGAACAGGGGCACTGAAGGCCAGCTAGGACTGATGACAGGCCCTCTGCCCTCCATGCTCCCAAGCCCTGCAGTCTCCAGAACAGATGTTTGCTTTTTCCTGACAGACGGCTGGCCCGCTCCACCCTGCTGCTCATTCCACTCTTTGGAATCCACTACACAGTATTCGCCTTCTCTCCAGAGAACGTCAGCAAGAGGGAAAGACTTGTGTTTGAGCTTGGGCTGGGCTCCTTCCAGGTAGGCGTGCTGTATGCAGAAGCTAAGCCCTGACCTTTGACCTGCTGCCACCTCTGTGACCTTGTGAACCCTGACTTCTAACCTCAGGGTTTGTCTCTGGCATGAGTGCTAGAGCAGATGTCCTCTATAGTCCTGTCTGCTACTGTAAGAAGATGTAATGAAGTCTTCCCGTCACTGTGCCTGGGGATCCTGGTCCAGGACCCCTGAGTGATTTGAAATAAAATCTCTCCATAAAGCCCAGGCGTTAGGATCCTGTGCTGGGTTCACATCCTGATTTCAGCCATATACTCCAGCAACATGAGGACTGGAGTTCTGTCTTATCCACCCTGGCACAAGGGATCCAGGTATAGGGCCTGACACAGAGAAATGAAAGGACTGGAGGTGACTGGGCAGATCCTTAAATGAATGGGTACATGGGTGTGGGACAAGAGGAGGACCAGAACAATGAGTGTATAAGCAGGAAAGAATAGGTGGTTATAAGCAAGTACATGCCTCACAGCTAGGGAGTGGATGAAGTAGCTGTAGTGGGCTGTGTGGAAAGGGGCAGTGTCCTCTCACTTGTTTAAGTTAGCACTTGAGCTTGACGGTCAGGAAATACTCTGTGCAATTGACTTGGATTTTAACTCAAAGCTGTTTTCCCCGGATTCACATTCTTACTCTGATGAGACTGAGAATCTCAGAGATGAAGTTCTGACCTAGAAATTGCAGCTCAAGGCTCCCGTCTCTATGTTTACTGGCAAATTCCAACCACCGTCCCTCTGGCATTTTTAAATGGCAGCCCGAGGCACTGAGGTGCTACAGACCTGGTTTTCAGCGTTCAGGAAAAGGTTGCTTTGTTTGGTGCAGACGAACTAAATTCATATGTTGTCAAGTATGTAGCACACATACTTTGCTTTCCTGTGTCGTGTATAGAAGCCGAGGGAGGGCAAAGGAGGGAGTGATGATGGATAAAGACAATACGAGGCTGTTCTGTTCTGAAGGAGTCCTGCTCCCAGGAGCCTGCACACTAGTGGCTTCCTCTAGAAAGGGAGAACAGCTTCCGTAGGCAGTGGGATGGAGATAGTCTTTGGCCATGGGAAGTGTTTGTCTAAGTGAGTGTGAGATCCAAGGTTTATCAGTGTGAACTGGTCTATCAGCTATTCAGCTTCATAGAAGTGCCTGTCTTGGTGGCATTCTCAGCCTCACCTTAGAGCCTTGGGCAGGTGTCTCCTCTCTAGACTGCAGTGTTTTCTTCTTTCTGGTATCTTTCCCAGTGCCATTCCTCCCACATCCCCAGTGTGTCTGGGTGGGTGGGGGTGTCTCTTGCTGGTAGGCTTACAGTTGTTTGTTTTCTCTCCCCAGGGCTTCGTGGTGGCTGTACTCTACTGCTTCCTGAATGGGGAGGTAAGACACAGTTTGGCCACCTTTCTCAGAAATACAGGTGGGGCTCGTTGGGGAAGAGACTGGGAGCAGATTCATTGGATGGAATCTTCCAGGTTGCCAGTACTGAGGATAGGGAGTGAGTGACATAGCTGTCACTGTTAAATGCTACCAACATCTTCTGGCATCTCCCACCTCTTCCAGAATCACTCTATCTCTGCTGATTAAGGCTACAGCTGCAGACAGAGTAGAGTACAGATATGCCGAAGGCACCCTATCGGCTGAGAACACAACTCCAGGGCACATCTTCTCCAAAAAGCATGCCCTAATGGGTAGGAGTGAGTACCTCTAGGTCATTAGGCTGTGGGGGCCATACTGCTGAACTATGGCAAGCAAGCCTGCCTAGCTATCCCTGCTAGAACAGAGCCTAGAAGAATTCAGAAGAGAGCCTAAGGAGAAACCTGGAATCTTCCAGAGGTGTTTCATTTCCAGAGCTATTTTTCGGGGCTCCCTCTCTAGCCTATTGGGGGTAATGTTCTGGAGCAGAGACCAGGGTAGAGGTGCCTGAGACATGGTGGAGACTGTCTCAATGGAGAAGAGCATTTTCCCTAAGGCTCTGGTCTTCATGTTCCCAGATCTTGGCCTCAGAAGACTCTTCCTCTTATTTGCGTCTAAGACTCAAGACAGCTAGACTCCATGATGGGAAGGCCAACCTATAGTGAAAATCAGGATAGATCAGATCAAGAGAGTCCTAAGAGAGCTCTGCTTAAAGATTCTGGGGGAGCCAGTATGTGGGAGTATGGGCAGCTGGGTAGGAGTTTGCCAAGGGAGTGGAAGCACGAAGTGGGGAAAATGGGTACAAGTGCTGCTTCTAGTCAGGCGGCTTGTGTACTGCATAAAGGTTTTGGCTGAAGTGGCATGTGGAGGCTGAGGTTTTCTTGGCATGACCACCATTTACTGTATGGAGAGCTACAAAGGGTGTGTGTGGGGGGGGTGTTTGCCAAGAGGCATGGACTGTTTTATAACTCTTAGTCTCAGAAGTCTTCTCATCTTGGAAGCATCCAAAGCTATGGATTTTTAGGTCTTATCCAGAGATGTTGATATCATCATTCATGGGCTTTGGGCATCTGGGATATTTCAAGCTATTTGAGCAAATCTTATATGCATCCCACAGTGGTAAAAAAGAAGGGCGAGGGTCTTTATTTGATCCACATGCTTCGAGAAGTTTCTAGGAAAGATTTCTTGACAATTTTAAACGACTGGTCTCTGAGAGGCCCAGTCAGCAGGAACTTTGCCAAGACAGATTGGGACAAAGCTGCGGGAAACAGCTGGGGAGTGGGAGGTGGGTGGGCGGTCGCGATGGCAGCTGGTAAAGTGCCAAACCAGGTCCTAGAAGATACTGAGAACCATGTGTGTGTTGCTCATTGCAGGTACAGGCAGAGATTAAGAGGAAATGGAGGAGCTGGAAGGTGAACCGTTACTTCACTATGGACTTCAAGCACCGACACCCATCCCTGGCCAGCAGTGGAGTGAATGGGGGCACCCAGCTGTCCATCCTGAGCAAGAGCAGCTCCCAGCTCCGCATGTCCAGCCTCCCGGCTGACAACCTGGCCACCTGAGTCCTGTCTCCCTTCTACTTCTGCACAGGCTGGGGCTGCGGGCCGGTGCCTGCGCGTGTTTGTGCATCTCCCCTCTCCTTGGGCAGGCCCTGGGTAGGAAGCTGGGCTCCTCCCCAAAGGGGAAGAGAGAGATAGGGTATAGGCTGATATTGCTCCTCCTGTTTGGGTCCCACCTACTGTGGTCCATTGAGCCCAATTTGACATGTAAATACATCTCGAATCTGGAAAGTTGTCCCATCTCTCCCGACCCCCGCCCCAACCCATGCCCCTGTTTACCTCTGCCAGGCCCCAGCTCGACCTACTGTGTCAAGGCCAGCCTCAGTGATGGCCTGATCCCAGGAACAAGGCCTTGTGAACTGAGGTTAAAACATGCCTGCTTTGGAGAGGCTGGGGTAGTGACCACCCCAGCAGCCTTTCAGCAAATAGACTTTGGATGTGGACCCTTTTCAGCCTGTACCAAGCACTGCAGTTGGCCAGGAGTACAGCTCAGTGTTCTGAGCATCCTTTGGAGCAGGTCAGCCTGAGGCTTCTTTTGCTTACCTGATATCTAAGTTGTCCAGGTGCTCAGCTCCTGTGGGCCTGGGTGATGGGAGGGCTCCAGGGCTCTCTCAGTCAAAGACTTACATTGAGGTGGGGTGAGGGTCAGAGAGAGTTCTGGTGCTTTTCATTTGCTCTAAGAGCTGAGAGTCAGAAATGCAGATTCAGTTGGGAAGGAGGATGGGATAGCTGAAGACCTTACCACGTCCATGACTGTGCCCCTGACTCAAGACTGTACCACGTGGTGGCTTTATGTCTACACTTCTTGCCCATGATGGATGGTCTGAAGGAGCTCTTCTCTAGCCACAACAACCACAGAAAGCCCCTCGCTCTCTCTTCTCCGTTTCCCCATAAATCAAAGCCATGTCTAGAATGGACCAGCCTCCTTGCAGTAAAATCAGAGTTCTGAAGCAACTTTGAGTTTCCATGAGCCAAGTCCTGGGTCCAGGGCTCCCCACAGTCCCATCTCTACTGATTACAAGGAACCTTACCTGCCAACCCCAGTCTGGACTCAATTACTAAACTCAGATTTGTCTGCAAGACTTCTTCCATGTGCCCTTGACGTTCGGATCACTCGTGGGCCTCTAAGGGTGTTTGAAGGTGATACTGTGTCTATCATGTGTACGTGCAGAAGCACCTGGTGGAGGGAGTGGTGGCTCTCTAGTGCCCATCTTGGCTCTCCAGCTGCAAGTTGCACAGCCATAACCTAAGACTTTAAATTAGGCCACACCCAGATTTGGGAAGGTAGAGGGGGAAAAAGGAAGGGCCATGGGGGCCATGTGGCCCACCTCACTCCGTGTAAAGGTAATGCTTGTTCTTGTCCCTGCCTCTGTGGACTTGTTCACGATTGTGCTCTGGACTGCATGGGGAGTGTGGGAGGCTGTCTTGCTTGCTGTTGTATTAAGTAGAAGGGGTTCTAGGAGATTTGACACAGTGCTTCTGGAGGAGCCTTTGGAAAGACTGGAGAAGGTTCTAGTTGATATGATTTAGAGATGTGTTCTGTGTTCTTGACCAGTGAAGTAAGTTCTTGGGTCTTTGGCAAAGTTGGAAAGAGAAAGGGCCTCACCTCCTTATTCTTTCCCAGAAACATTTAGTGGCTTGGACCAACCACTGAGTATACATTGGTTCTTTTCTCCTGCCCCTTATGTCTCCCTGCTGTCCCCTCCCCTGTTCTGCGAACCATATTTTCAGCCAAACAAGAATCAGTTGATCCCCTTGTACTTTGGACACTTCTAGGGAGCCTGAGCTGTTTAGAAAAGGCCTTGGTTCAGGATTCCAGCTGGGTTCATGACTGTGAACACAATGTGCCCTGTGCTGGGCCACGACTTCCTTGTTTGTGAAATGAGGGGGTTTCTAGTGCTTTTCCAGGTTCTTCATTAGTTAAAAACTAAGGCAGGTAAACAGATGTATCCTTGTGAAAATCATCTAAAGGGTGTGTGTGTGTGTGCACGTGCACGCGCGCGCATTTGTGTGTGTGTGTGTGTGTGTATGCACACATGTGTGCGTGTACATGTGTTATTGAGGGGAACAATGTTCTGTTTATTTTCCCATTTGGATGCCACATGGTATCCAACGCTAAAGAAGAGGGAAGTTCAGGCCATGGACATTTGAATGGGGCCTCAGGCATGATGTGCAGAACTAGCCTTCTGTGCCAGGCAGGGACAGGTTGCCTGTGGCACCCTCTATCTGAGGTGCAGCCCTTGGGCTGTGAACCCCATTCACCTGTCATCACCCCCACCGATGGGTCTGCTTCACTGTGGAAGGAGAAACTGTGACTTTCTGGTTGCATTACTGCAAAACAGCAAAAACCGGATAACCTGAGCCCCCGCTGCTTCTGAGCCCTGGGCCTGTGTCCTCCTGGAACTTCCAGGTTCCCGTTGCTTGGTTTTTCAGTCTGAAGGAATCTTTTTGTTAGTCTTGTGAGTGGATGTACCTGAAGGATTCTGCATTTTCCATGAGGGTCTGGCTCTCAGGCCGCCGGCAGTGAAGGGACGGCACAAGGTTGGGTAAAGCCCTTCCTCTTTGACCCTCTTACATAGCGTAAGCAATAAGACTAGTTGATCTGTGTGTACCCCAGTGTATCTCTGGGGTTCTGTCTAAACACCAACCATCTTCTCTTGGAATGGGCCTCAGTCAAAGCTTGCAGTAATATAGCCTGGTCCCAGAAAAGGGAAAATGATAAGGAAATCCTGTCTGGTAGTTGAAAGGCTTCATGGATTTGGAAACCTGGAGGCAGGAACATAGCAGATTTAAGGGGCATCCAGCCAGTTAGACGATCAATCCTGGGAAGTGAGGTCTTGTTAAAGGCCAAGTTGACCATCCCATTTTGGGGACGAGGACATCCCTGTCCTTATCTCCTGTTATAGCTGTCCAACTACAGGGTAAGCAGCAAGTGTCAGGAGAGGATGTAGTCCTCAGAGCATGGTATTCCTTATGAGGAATGCTTAGCCTGTCAGAAAGCCAGAGGAACTTACAGGTGCTGTAGCTTTAAAGAGCCTCACACCATGCTTAAGATCTGACTACTCTCGGTGTACAGTGAGGAGATCTTCCCTGGTGTGCTCAGCATCCTGCAGTGATTCCTCTCCTAACCCTCATCTTCCCCAAACTGACTTCTCTGGGGAGTAGGGATGGGGCTTGGTCAGGGCTGCGTGGTAGAAATACCCCTGCATCTGTTGCCCAGTACCAGGGCCTCTGCTGTTTGGTCTGTACCTTCTCTTCCTTGGAGGGAAAGATGCATTAGACTCTTTTTTTAATCCTTGAGTACCTTTTGCCCCCTACCAAGAGAAGACAGCAAGTTCTCTGACACTGCAAATTTCACTTGAACCTAGGGAGCTGGGAAGCCAGGTGGGCCTACCCTGTTTTTGAATTGCGTTGCATTGAATTGTATCAGTATTGCACAGCCCTGCCTGTGAGCCAGATGTAACACTCAAAGCAGCTGTGGAATACAATGCACCCTTTGCAGAAGTGGCTGTACCTGCAGCAAGCCCAGGAGTCTAAAGTACAGTGCAGGAGTAGCAATAGCGTTGGCCTGGTATTAGGATACCTACTAGCAAACTTGGCCCTCTCCATCTGTTCTGGGACTCCATACTTCCCTGCCTTCAACCCCTGCTCTGCAATGAGGTGGCTGTGGTTACACCATCGTCTACCGACTGGCTAGGGATGAGGTGGAGGTGAAACGCTCCTTGGGAGTTTACAAGCTCTGAAAACAAAACAGCCACGTGCTCATTCTTAGAGTGAAGTCCCTGAAAAGTATGTCCCTTTGCAGCCTGTCTACTGTTTTGAGCCCTTTTGGGTTAACCCATTTGTAAAACCACCAGCATGAGCATGAGGATGAGGCCACGGGGCTCTGGTGGACATCAAATCCCAGCTTTACCGTCATCACTGTTCAGTTTGCTTTGAAGGTAAGGATGAAGAACGCTCTGCTATGATCAGCTCCATGCTGTCTGCCTAGGGAATCCTTCAGTGGTATGGGACACTCCTCAAGCGAGCCAAACGCCCATTTTTTTCTCCCTTCCTTAAACTCTGGGTCCTGTGCTGTGTCTGTACTCAGCCATGTGTGTTTTGTCTGCTGTCTGTCTTCTGAGGCTTAGCATCTATCAGGGCTGGGGTGGTTCAGCCCGTGGTACTCCAGATGTGGTTCCAGGCTCACTTGTGGGAGCTGGACTAGTCTGAGTTTAATCTCCCACAATAAAGATAAACCCCATGGACCTCACCGCTACCGCTGCCTCCATTAACGCTGTGCTCACACCTTGTCTCGGATTTTAATGATGTCATACTGCTGTAGATGACTCAATAAATGTCTTATCGTTTTTCTTGGTGCCTGTAAATCGCTGAAAGTAGAGGGCAGGGGAAAGAGACAGGAGGGGAGAGGACTCCTTCTCCCCACAGATCTGATTATCCCGCAGTATCATAGTCTGCAAGGTCTCATGGCCTTTTGGATTCTCAAAGAGGGTCATGAGGATGGAGTTGGAAGAGCTGAAGATAGAGGAGGGAAAGACAGGAAGCCTTGGCCTTGAAAGGCCGTTCACACGATGTGTGTAGCTCAGTTCACCTGGGTGTCTGAAAATGGAAGTGTCTTACCCCAAAGTCTTTGATATCTCATGGACTTCTCGTCTTTGTTGGTGGGAGCAGCCCACAGATTCTGAAAGCTTGCCTGAAGGGAGTGTTTCAGCTCACCCCAGGTGTGTCCTTGGGTGTCAGTGTTCCTGGAGAGTCAGAGCCACACCTCTCCCTGCCACACAAGGTAATGGATTCTCAGTAGCTCTCTTTTCCTTGAGGGCCTAGTGATTGTTATAGCTTTCTAGCTCATTATGTTAGTAATATTTTAATTGCCAATAAAAGGTTGTCAGGAAGTCACAGAATCCATGTCAGGGTGAAGAAACAAGACGAGTTACCCAAAGCTACATACCATGCCAGAAAACTGATGACCAGGTTGTTACCACCGTGGTTGCCACCATCGTAAG